GTTTTCTCCTCTGGTGGGACATTTGACATGCTGATAGAACTTTGGGAGTACAGTCTTTATGTTGGCCTTATTAAAGTCACCTGCAATTATGTGAACACCGTCCGGGTGGGCCCACTGCTGTTCGTTAATGGTGTTCATTATAAGATCTCCTGTTTAGTTTTTAATACTGTTATATAATATTTTTATATCCTAGTAGTTTCTTAAACGTATCTGTTCATAATATAACTTGTGGATTGCAGTGAATTGATATTTATTAAGCAAAGGAGTCCTGCAGAGGCTATTCATGGTCGTTTGATGCCCTCTGTTGGATTCTTGACACCTTGCTTGTTGAGGCTCAGGTGGTTTGTTGGTGTTGACCTTCATTGTTTCAACTGATAATTAATGACTCAAGACAACTTTGAGGACGTCTTGTTGCATGCTCAATTATCCAGGTAAGTAAATCTCCAAAAGTTGATTCTGTTCATCTGGATGTTTGGTCAGTGGCTGTTGATCAATGGTCATGAGAATTTGCATAAATAAGATTAAGGAACTGACCTCCCACCCCTTTGTTCCTTCAGTGGGCTGGTTTCAGTCATTATGCAAATGTACTGTTTATAAGATTTGGGGAAACCTGCAGTCAGCTGAGACTGAAGAAGTCACTTGGATGAGTGATGAAACGTTTCTCCCACAAAATGCTAAGTCCAGATGAACAGAATCAACTTTTGGAAAACTTGAACACATTGCTTTACCAGCTACTCTGATTACTGTAAATACGATTTCTTGTGGTATTTTTGTATGTTACAGCCTTTGGAAAATTCTGCCCGCATTATTTATGGGTCTGCCAAAGGGATGACAGGGTTGTTCTGTGTCTGCTGGTCAGTTTTTGGTCCAGATTAGTGCACGTCAACAACCATTTGATGGATAAAGTCAGAGTTTGTTGATTCCAGAGTGTGTTCTTGCTTTATATTTGTGGTTTAAAGAAAACCAGGAGATTAAATGCCAAGGTGATTTATTTATTTGTTCTCCAACATCCTCAGGTTTAAATTGCTTAAAGTGCTTTTCATTACCTAATGACCAAATCTCATCAAAAAAAAAGGTAATGTCCTATTCAAGAAATGTTTTCACTGTGACATACTGAACCAACATACTAGCCATATAACATAAAACCTCAGCATGTCAGCATTGTCTTGTAAGGTGTATTGCCACAGCAACAATTATAGTAAATGGCCTGTATTTGTGTAGCGCCTTACTAATCCCTAAAGACCCCAAAGCGCTTTACACATCCAGTCATCCACCCATTCACGCACACATTCACACACTGGTGATGGCAGCTACATTGTAGCCACAGCCACCCTGGGGCGCACTGACAGAGACCAGTGTCCTAAAAAGCTGAACTTGAGGAAAAATGGAAACCATGGAAGCTGATCATTAACATTTGATAACATTTTGTACTGTAACAGAACACCACAGTCTAAAGCAGTGTCATTCCAGTGAAACAGGAAACTGATCAGAACTTGAGATAAAGAAGTGAAGCAGCTGTTATTACACTGAATGAACTGAATATTTGTGGTGACCTCATGCTGTCATTATACATAAACCTGCTTGTGTTTCAGAACATAAATACTTCTATTCTTTTGTTTTCTCTTTTCTTAGATTAGATCAGTGAAGGTTAGAAAAGCTAACTGATAGGTTTGTAGTTTGAACCTATTCGCTGGAACGGTCAAGACAATTTAATTACACAGCAAAAGTAAGACACAAGTAGGCAAAGTTCTTCGTGTTACTCATGCATGAGGGAGAGAACCACGACAAGCGCTGTTCCTTCACTTGACCCCAGTCGCTCTCGTCTGCTCCCCTGTAACACTTCTCTTTTATTGAGGTTACATGAATAGACATGGGTTCATTAACATATGACGTCTACATACACACAAAGAGTACCTTGCCTGTGCGTTGTGTAAGTGTGTGTGTGTGGGGGGTCAGAGTGTGACCCTGTGAAGACTCCACAAAGCTGGTGCCAGGAGTCTAGAGGTCCATCTAAACAAGAGACTCTTACACTCAAACAGATATACGTGTGTTTGCTATACCATATATCAGCAAGAGAAGATACGACCTCTCCTAGGAGGTGTGTGATCTACACAGAGTTGTTACAGACCTCCTAGGATGAGACATTCTTTCAATCTACAAATGATTATATACTTCTAAGCATATATGACTAAATATTTCTAAGCATATATGACAATCAACAATACAAATCTAACAATAACTTCAATAAAGACACAAAACTAAAACGACGATTTATTTGATTAGCTTAAATAATAATAAATGGACAACTAACAATAGTGAAACAATATACAGAGAGCGTTAAATTCTGTTTTTGAAGGCAAACCAATTCCAGATACTTATTATTGGCTGCAATTGCTCTGAGTTTAGCTTGCGACAATACACATAACTTACTCTTTATGTATTTATATGTATTTACAGGTTAATGTAGTAATGATGAAAATACAAGATGAAATACCATATTCCTAATATTACTGTAATAATAGTTCTATGGTGAAGCCATGCTATTTATTTTTTATTTACCATTTACTATTATTATTACTATTAAATATCAAACGTTAAGCTTGGTGAAAGTGTGTTTTAGAAGTTGATTTTGATTGACACTGATTTCATGTTCTTTGTTTTCCTTGTTTATTTGTTTTTTGGTCATGAGACCACTGTGCTTTGGGATCTCCTTGGATCATGGACTGTATCTAACATGAGTAAAATGCATATTTGTAATGCTTTGAGCAGCAGGAGAAAAAAACAGGCCTTGCCTGCTGTCCAGTTTTCCTTTTATTTCTTTAGATCTCATGTCAGGGTACTACACGCTCAAACTATAATGAGAGCTCAGATATGTCACCTGTCACCAGTTTCCAGAGAAGAAGGAAACTGATCAAATGTTAAGGTGAAAGAATGAAGTAGGGTCTGTTTTAAAGAGAAAATGTTAAACAAACACAGCATTTTTCCCTTGAATTCTGTTGAAGGTCATGTGCTCGACTGTTTCTTTACAGTTTGAGTTTACTGGTGGGAGGAGCTTTTTTTTCTAATGCTTGTATATAACAACAAAGAGGCTTAAGACATGATGGTACTTGATGGAAAAAATACTGTAAATGTGGAAAACATGCAAACAGACAGAAAAAATGAAAAAATATAAATAACATAAACAAAAGATGTGTCATTGTGTGTAGTGCTGTGTCTTTGTTTCCTGCTTTTTCTTCAGCTGCAGTGCTCTGAGATCTCTTAATCACTTGACAAAAGCACAAGTATGATGTTGATTCTTAAAGCCCTTTAATGACCTTTGTGATATTTCCAAGTATTTCCAAACCTTTGGCCTAAACAGTACCAGAAAGCAGGTTCTTCATTTAAATTTCATTTCCTCATTTAAACTATGACAAACAAACAAAAAGTACCCTGTCACAGACAAATATAGGTTGATTACCTTTAAATCCTGTAATATAATTCTCAGTTTTTGCACTACACCTCTGGAGTCTTTACATTGTCTACATTTGTACTGTCATGTTGTAGATTGGAGGTCAGTTGAAACACTGGAGCTTCTGGACTAAAGTGACCTGGTGTCCAACTGTATGTAGCATTTATTATTCCCACATTGGGTCTAATGAAGTCAGCACATGAGTCTAGAATCGTGTCGTTAACAAAGAGAGAAAACGAAGTACTGAAGCATAGATCACCCATCAGAAAAGCAGCTGGAATAATAATAATGTGGTTTAATAGAAAGCAACAACAGGGAGGTAATACTGTTCAATAAATTGAGAAAAACTTTAGTTATCATTTATGCTTATTGAATTAACTTCATTAAACTACACTGTATTCATCATTCAATATCAGAGAACCATAGCTTGTTCATTTATTTATTTATTAATTTTTTGTTATTAAAATTACTTTCAAGCATCGCAATATTTTTGCAACATATTTACTTTGTTTGGTTGACTTGTGTCCGTCCATGTCTGTGTGCATAAATGTAAAGTATGGACACACTCAAAAAACAGTTCATCATAGAAAGGTCAAAGGTCAAGGCCTTAGGTTTGTAGCAGCTGCCTAACCAGATCGCATCACACTGGCATTAAAAGCATTTAATGAAGTTTCATTTTAACATCACATGAACTGATTGTTTGTTTGCAACACACATTCTTTTCCTCCTCAGACTTCTGAAGAAACCACGCCTCCTGTCACCGCAGGTGAGTGTTTTCCTTTAATCAGTGCTGAAGGAGTCATGCTGCACAGCCTCACTCACTGCAAGGAAGCAGATGCATCAGTTTCATTTATGAGGTAAATACTGGTTGTTTGTATAATAGAAACATATGATGTGTGTCTCTGTGGGTCTAACTGACAGTTTTACAGTGTTAAACTGTACAAATATAAAACTGTAATGTAGTTCTCATATGCAGATTTGTTGTGATTTAAAGTGTATTTGTTTATTTGTGAGGCAGTTTACAACACGCTACATTGCAATGGTTATTATAACTCTATGCTGTTCATTAAACAGTGTGTGTGCAATGAAGTCCATCTACAGAGAAGAGACAGTAAAAGCTTAATTATGCCAAATAATTAAGGGCTCATTTACATGGACTGTTACGTGTTTTTAGTAAAAATAAATAAAATCATTAATTCTGATCATAGTTAACTGCGGATAGATCATCAAAGCATGGTATATATCAAAGATGAGTTACAATATTATTTCATTTTTTTGAGTTCAACGTGAATACGATAAAATAAGATAACCTTTATTAGTCCCACACGTGGGAAATTTGTTTTGTTATAGCAGAAGGTGGACAGTGCAAAGTCACATAGAAAAATTGGAAAAACACTGTAATAAGATAAGAATAAGATACTGTACACAACTGTACACAATAGAATAGAATAAAATAAAATAAAATACTATATACAATAGAATAAAATAGAATACAAATGCTATATACAATTGAGCACAACGATGCCAGAACGAGAAAGTAAAGAGGAGATAAAGAAGCTCAGAATGAGCGTAGCTGCTGTAACAGGCTGCCACACACGGGGGGCACCGGAAGGAATGTGTCTTTACATTATGCACATTTTTACTTTAATTTTGTAGATTGTAGGTCAGTTGAAACACTGCAGCTCCTGCACTAAAGTGACCTGGTGTCCCACTTTATGTGGCATTTATTATTCCTTGTTTCCATCATCCCACCAAATGGAAGAATGTCCACATTGTATTGGCTTTACTGAAGTCAGCACATGAGTCTAGAAGCATGTGGTTAACAAAGAGAGAAAACGTGTAGTGAAGCACAGATGAAGCAGCTGGGATAACAATAATGGGCTTTAACAGTTATGACAATAGAAAGCATCACCAGGAAGGTACAAAGGCTACTGCACAATAAAACAGACGTAAACTTCAGTTATAATTTATGCTTATTGAAATAACTTGATTAAACTACAGTGTCTTCATCATTCAATACCAGAGGAGCATAGTTTGTCTGTTCATTTATTTATTTATTGATTTTTTATTATCATTATTTTGAATATTATCAAAAATACTTTTAACCATTAGTAACATTTGCCACATATTTACTTTGTTGATTTGTTAGTTTGTGTCTGTCCTGGAAACATGTTTGTGTGCACAAATGTAAACAGTATGGACACACTCAAGAAAACGTTTCATCATGGCAAGGTCAAAGGTCAAAGGTCAAGGCCTTAGGTTTGTAATAGTTGCTCAACCAGACCATATCATTGGCATTACAAGCATTTAATGAAGTTTCCTTTTGACATGCGCACACTCACATGACCTGATTGTTTGTCTGACAGGCACAAATTCTTTTCTCATCAGACTTCTGAAGAAACCACGCCTCCTTTAACCTTTAACCAGTGCTGAAGGACAAATGCTCTCACTCACTGCAAGGAAGCAGATGCATCAGTTTCATTTATGAGGTAAATACTGGTTGTTTGGTTGTTTGCACAACTTACTGTATAATAGAAACATAATGTGTGTCTCTGTGGTTCTAACTAATCTTGCTAATCTTGTAGGCTCAAAAATGTAAAACTGTAGTTCTCAGATGCAGATTTTGTGGTGATTTAAGGTGTATTTGCTTATTTGTGAGGGAATTTACAACAAGCTACATTGTAGTAGTTATTATCCCTCTATGCTGTACATTACACAGTGTGCGTGCAATGAAGGCCATCTACAGAGAAGAAACAGTTTAAGCATAATTATGTCAAATAATTTAGGCCTCATTTACATGGACTCTTATTGTTTTCACTTAAAATAAATAAAATCAATTAGTCTGATCAAAGTTAACTGTTGATAGATCATCACAAACTAGCATATGTCAAAGTAAAGTTAGGATGTTGTTTTTAAACCACTTTGTTTTTTTTGTTTTTTTTTTCATTTCAGCATGAATGCAGAGGTATATCTCTTTAATGTGACTATTTTCTTCTTGTTTTCCAGAACAAAATGAGCCTAAAAAGCTGGTTTGGTTTCCTGGTCAGCCCAGGTAACCTGACACAAGTATATTCAAATCTAAAGCTCAGTACTTGTTTATATGTGTATAAAAATACTTCAGAAAACTTGGATTTTCTTCACTTGCTATTTTTTACTGGCAGTTAGATGACAAATAAAGAAACATTTTTGGGTTTTTTTTAAATTAAAGATTATTATTAATATTAATATAGTTATTTTATTTTCATTGTTTTCTTTAATTTTTCACTTCAGAGAATTTGACTCCTACTCCGGTGCTTATCTGCATCTGTATTATTGTTGTCTCGGTGCCCATTCTTCTTGTTGTCATTGTCACATACAAGTGTAAACAAAAGAAAAACAGTAAGTTACAAATTCATTTTTCAGTCTGACACAAGTTTAATGAGCTATATAAATAACTTGTTTCATTATAATTGTATTTTAACAGATGTTGGATAAAGTGCACCCAGATTAATTAAGAATTTATAAGAATCAAACTAAACACTAATCTACAACTTGTTGTGTTTCTGACAGGAGGGAGCAAACATGAAAATAAGACTTTGAGCTCAGGAGAAACAGAAAATTACAACAAGCATGTAAGTAAACAATGGACATTACTTTTATCTACTTCTGATGAAAAAAGAAATAGAGAATTGTGTGTCAGAGGGGAGTCTAACCTGAACAACAAGGTTCAGTCAGAGCTGAATCAGAAGAGAGAAACGAACAGGCTGCACTAAAAACAAATTACAGATGGTGTAAAAATGAATGACTGTCATGGCTGTGAGTAAAGGCATGATAGAAGGACAAACTTAAAAAATGCAGAAATAGATACCACAATAAAAAGAGACTCCATTATAAAGCAAGATGAGTTTTTAGAGGTGTTGATTTGTTGACTTTTGACAGCTTGTTTCAGTCTTTATAGTTAGTGAAATTATGCCCCTGTGCATTTGTTGCCTACAACTCTTAATTTCATTTGTCTTCACCTATGATGCAGACAAGATTGGCTGAGCCAAACTGCCCACAGACATGTTAAATGGTGTGCTTCACCACTTTAACTTGTTTTATTTCTCATTTCTCTCCCAGTCCAAAGTCAGAAAAGCTCAGAGTCAGAAGGATGAAGGACACGAGAAGCAGGAAGTTGAGAAGAAGGTGAAGGCAGAGACTCTGAAGGCAAATGAGATCGAGGGGAATGAGGTACATTGAGTTTCTAATTATTTATCCTCTTCACAAGGCATCGTTATTTATTCCAGTAATGTTCATATTTGGTGTCAGTTTACAGTAACTCCCAGTGAAAACTTAAATATGATTTACACCAACAGAAGCGGAAGAGAAATTAAAACCTCTATAATTCAGATTTTTTTGTTGCATTTTTACTTTAAAAAACAGTCTGAGACTCAGAGTCAAGATGTAAAAGCTGAAGTCCGGATGGTCGAGGATCAGAATGAAGGGAATGAAAACCTGCAGACACCAAACAAAGATCTGAAGACCAACAATGCTGAGGTTAAACTCTTAAACTCTTTGCTTTAATACTTTAGTCTTTAAATCTTAAATGTTATCAATTTTAAATTCTTTTTTATTTTTAATTTAAAACCTAACGGTAACACTGCTAAATTATGGAACAGAATAACAAACGATAATGCAACTCTATATTGCTCATATCACCAAACAATCATGCTGCTGGCTCACATACACTGACACTGACTTTCAGCTGCAGCTGTCAAAGTCAGATGATTTAAAGAAGACCAAACCTGAACCAGAGAAGCAGAGTGTGGAGATCAGTACACCAAAGGAGGAGGTGTGTTTGCC